CATATCAGTGACGGTTTACAGTCTGTTTTTAAATGGGTGTAATGGACAGGATATTTTTATTATATTACAAGTAAGTACAAGTGAAGCAAATTTTAATTTAATTAGACTTTTATTTCATTTAAGCAGAGCTTTAATGAGCCTCTGAAAAGGATGTGATGTTCTGATACTCTCTCCCCCGACGGTCTCATGAATTAATGATCGACCTTCTCTTTTAATGTCTTTGTTTTTTTTTTTTGGTTTGAAAATAATTAAACAATGATTAAACTGAACATGGCACATATGAAACAGTATTGTATTCTTTGTGTGGGGTTTTGCTTTGTCATACTTTTCATTCTGGCTTTTAAGAATTATTATTTCTTGTTTAATATGTGCAGGGGGAAAGTGACAGAAGCTGTGAAGATACTTTTTTGGGGGGAGAAATGATGCTTTTCTTCACCAGTTATTTTGGAAATAAACAGGCTAATTTTGACACCCTTTGTGTTCAGATGGAGAGAGGCAGTGATGAGCAGTGTGCTGGGTGACATCATTTAGTAACTTCTGGAACTTAATAGTGCATTTTATTCTGTTTTCACCGGTATATTTGTACCTGAGGATATGTATGGAAGCAACATCTTTTTTCAGGTTTTGACTTGCACAATGTCCTCAGAGACACACCTTGCAAAGTCGTTAGAATTGAATATGGCTGTTATATCAGGCTTGGGCTCTTCTTCCACCATCATTTAACTGCAGCACTGAGCACAACCCTAACTCTGTCTGTCTGTCTGTCTGTCTGTCTGTCTGTCTGTCTGTCTGTCTGTCTGTCTGTCTGTCTGTCTGTCTGTCTGTCTGTCTGTCTGTCTGTCGTCCAGGTATACCTTACCTTGTGGGGACCAAATATTCGTTTGACGCTATTCATCACACTGTGATGGACAGGATATACTGTGATGAATACCCATTTTTTTTTACCTTATGGGGACCAGTTTCCGGGTCCCCATATGGGAAAACTCTATTTTATAGAAATCCGTGACTGCAAGAAAAAAAACAAAAAATGCAAAAACTCTTGTATTTTGTTTGGTTACTTGTGGTTATGGTTAGGGCTGGGTGGGGGTTAAGGTTGAGTTAGCGTTAGCATCCTATCCAGCGTGTCCCCACCCTCGTGCCCTGTGCATCCTGAGGTGGGGTCGCGGTGAGTCTTACACCAGTACTAGACATGCGGGATGGTTGGATACTCCTTTATTTTTTGGTCTTTCACATATCCGGACATATTTTTGCTGTATATTACTTATCAGTGAATTGATTGAAATCCATAATGTATCTGATATTTTCTAATTACCTATCTAACCCTAACCGTGTTTCCATTCCAGAGCCTGTTGGTTAGGGCTCAGCTTTACCCCTGTGCCACTATGGGTGGCCGGGGGAGGGGAGTGTGCAACCCAGGTGGGATGTCCCTGCCATGTGAAACCTGGCCTTTTGATATGATGACAGCAAAACTCCCCAAAATTTAATATATCATGCATTGCACCCTCCCCCCCCCCATATTTAAATTAATGTAGGACTGGAGAATTAACCTACTTCTCCCATCACATGCAGGCGAAGGAATTGGGATTTAAAAAGATTAGCAGGATAAAAATGAAGCTGCCAGCTTCCCCTGAATGCTGCCCCCACTCCAAGACGGAGGTCTGCGGGAAAGCTCTGCCATTGCTCCCCCCCCCCCGCCCCCGCCCCCCATGTGGCACCATCTTGCATCCTCTTCAGATACTCTTAGTTTACAGCTGCAGTGTTAAGCAAAACAAGTATGTCAACTTTGCGTGTGTCTTAACACTTCACTAAGAAGACGTTAGTCTTATGTTTAACATAAATGCTAAACATTAATTTAAGAAGCAATTAAAATGCATTAACGAGGCCTTCCTTTTCAATCTGGAGCATGTGAATTAATTAGTACTGAGTTAATGCCTAAGGAGCGGTTCATATCCATGTAATTAGTGCAGTGATTCCTGTCTCTACCCCATGCTTAATAAGGGCAGAGGTTTCTCCTGACACTTTGTGCAATTGCTGCATCTATCTCGTCAAGATGCCAAAGAGTTTCTGCATCCTCTGACCAGCCTGCTCTGATTCCGTCCAATCGGATTATCCGTGAAAAAGGCACGAGTAGAAGAGGGGCTATAACGACACTTTCTTGGCTCTTTAAACTTGTAGTTCCAGCTTGGGCAGTGATTTGGGTTAAATTTCGACTGCATTAAAGCATTCGGTGTCCTGCTGGGTTTTTATGCTTTGGGAACCAAACAATGGTCCCGTAGCCGCCATTCCGCTCCAGTCACAGAGGGCTTTGCCTCTCTTTGGTGTGTTATAGCCCTAAGATGGAAATTGCTTTATTGGAGATGGCTCCTAGCCCAAAAAGCTGTGGTCTTGCAGGAGTGGCCTTGAATGTCTGCTCTGATCCACGCTGAGTCTCTTAACCCCAGCTGTGAACAGACACCTTCTTTTTTCCCACCTGTCGTGGTGAAAATGGGAAAAGCAGCATGCCAGGCAACGCGGCGGGGGTAGCCGAGTCACACTCTCCTGTTTTGACCTCATCACCTTGAGCACAGCGGCCGTATTCTATCACATGCTATAAGAAGGGTTATGGTCAGCACTTGGAATGCAGTTTTTTGCTGGGATTTTAACCTCTGGTCACGATTAAGGTACCTAGTTTTGTTCAGGCAGCACCAGCACTGCTATTTCCATGCGTTTCTGGAAGGTGGCTGGGTTCACACCCTACTGAATATTCTACAGCTCTTTCCTCTGCAGACGAATCCCCTAAAAATCAGTCCTTTTTCCTTTTTTGTTTTTAATAATCATATTTTCAAATGATGCTTTTTTGCCATTTGTACATGTACTTATGCCTCTTTTCACACGTATCCCACCTTGCTCTCTTTTGTGAGACATGTATACAGGTGAGAGTGAAGCTTGGGCCCCTAATGCAGGATCAGACCATTTATCTGGCAACTCCAGAGAATTTTGGGAGGTTTAGAGCTCTGTGTAAGGGGGCCAACAGACGTGAATTTTCTGCCGAGACTGGGACTCGATCCAGCAACCTTCCAGTCACCAGCACATTGAACTAACTTGCTAAGCCGCACTCCACCCCTTCATCATGACTCATTGGTCAGTAAGAGTCATTCTTCAGTCTTCAGTCATCGATAACTCAGCTATTGTTCGTCAGTCATCAATCACTCTGCTACTCTTAGCATGCCAGCTTATACAGACACCCGCGCCAATGCTCCCCCATTCTGCCCGTGCCCCGCCGTCGATGACGTGTCCCTGTGCCATGTCCCTGTGCCATGTCCCTGCAGTGTCCCCACTTGTCACCGACACTCCTCGAGATTAGCTTAGGGGGAAAAAAAAAAGCAAAACAAAAATAGTGACCTGGTTTCCTCGCTGACTCTCGCAGTGCGAATATACCCAATGTGTCATTCATACAGAAATAAACCCTGATATACGTTATGTGGTGTTTTCAGAAAGATAAGCACTTTGAAAGGTTGACTTCGAGGTAGCACATCATGGATATGAACTGAGGCAAGTTTTTTAGTGACACGGCTACAAAATGAATCATTTTCATTGGATGTAAATGACCGTTCAGTTTTTAAAATAGATGTCAGCAAGTAACTGTTAGATACAGTATATCTGCTCTGAGGGGAAAATTTAGCAGACTTTCCTAAGGCTGCCAGTACATTACTGAACATAATTATGTTTTTGGTAGAATTCTCTTTTAGAAGAGGCTTTTTCTCCTGTAATCATGCCTGACTGTCATTACATGTCCATATGCTTGGAGTTAAAAATTGCTATTCTGATTTATTGCTAATTAAGATGAGCAGTATTTGTCTCTGAAATACTGGTCAAAATGAACCTGCTAATTTTTTAAAACACCACACAGTAAATCTTTTTCTTGCTGTTATTTGCGGACATTACAGGTTACATATAGATTACTGTATCTGTTTTTAATTTGCGTGTGTAGACAGACTGTAGCGATTTTTAAATGTTTTGCATGCATAATTCTGGGTGAGAACAATGATGACGTGGTTTCATTCTCTGCATCTTTGTCATTTGGTCGTTCGTCTGTCTTTTTTGTGATGCCACATGAAGTCTTGGTGAAAATGTAATCAAGTGATCTGCCCTGAGTAAATCTGGCCATTTGGGTGAGGAATCGGGGAGCCTGTTCGCAGCTGTCTGCGGATTATAGTGTATAGTGGGGTCCAGCTAGTCACCTTGCCGGCGAGTGCAGGAAGCTGATGCGATGGATCGGTGCTGTGCGTGTGTGCATGTGACTGCTTCGCTTGCTGATCTGACTTGCAGGGTGCCATAGGGCTGAAAGTGCAGTAGGTGGTACTGGTTCCTGATGTGGCTTTCTGGTCTGCTCTTCTCTCATGAAGATCTGCCCATTTCTCACAGACACTCTGTGATGTTACTTTTTGGATTTAACGTAAAGCGTAGTTTTTGACTGTTTTGTGGGGCTAGTGTTTGCATGCAGCATTTTGATGACGGAAATAGCATCCCGGGTCCTCTTTATAACGGCACTGAAAATATGCAAAAAAATCTAAATAAATAGTGATCCCCCGCCTGTCGCGGAAGTTACGTTCCAGACCCATCAGCGATAAGTGAAAATCCGTATAAACATTTTTTTTAGTTTATAGTTTAAGCCTTAAAATACCCCTCCCACATGCTTTAAACACATGTAAACTTATTAAAACACACTTTGTAAACATATATGATATGTGGATGTCAGGCTAAGGATTTGAGTAACATAATAATATGTAATGTGTATGTGTGTGTGTGTGTGTGTGTGTGTGTATAATATATATATACACACACACACACACACACAGATCGCAGAGAACTGTGACGCGTCGGGGAAAAATCCATGATATAGCGGGGGTGCGATAGCTGAACCGTGATATAGCGGGGAATCACTGTACTTCTGAAAGTGAGTGTTTTTAAAGTAACAGACCTCCTTTCCCACTTTGATGTGTCTCTCTCTCTCTTCACAGATCCCTTGTAGATGATGACGACCCTCACATGAAAGTGTCCCTGGGGACGGGAGACATGGGCGTGTCTGCACACCCGCAGGCCTCGAAGACTGGCAACACGAGGTTCTTCACAAGCAATACGCATAGCTCTGTGGTCCTACAGGTCAGTGTCTCTGGGGCCGGATTGGGGGGCGGGGCTTATGACAATGGAAAGGGCACAATGTAGCAGGTACTGAAGTAGGGTCCTGTAGTGGGGGTGATGATGGCAGAATCTTAGAATCCAAATGTTGCCTCTGATGCTAAACTGTAACTTGCGAGGCAATAGGTGATGGTGATTTGTCTTGCCAATGACCATATACAATTGAAATGTAAGCTTATAAATGTGACCTCGTGTACTATACCAAAAAGCCTGTAATTAACTGGCCGCTGCAATGTGTTCAGCCAGATTTGGCGAGCAAAGGCACCCATATGGTCATCTGCAAGGTGAGGGGTATTCATGGGTGTTGAGTTTGGCAGTCGTTTGTGGACTGAGAGCAGTAGTGCTCTGGTTTAACTGACTAATGTATTTTTATCCATTTATGAGGGTGGCATTGGCTCAGATTAGCGTGAGGCCCCTATAGTCTGTGCACGCGAAGCGAATAAGCATATACCACTCACCATGTCTGTAACAGCATTTTCAACGTTTTCATTCATGTCCCTCTGTGTGGTTTTCTTCACTGTTTTTCATTTTGATTTTTACTGTAATTGGGCTAAGTCATGTTCTTCACATTAATGGTGAATCGCACTGAGAATAAAATATGAGCGCTTTCTTGGCGTGTGGTAGAAGTGCAGTACTATTCCATTAGAAAATGAGTCTGCCGGGATCTAGATGCTGGGGATGGTCCTCTGTGTGGAAGTGACCAAACGCTAATTCATTAAACGCTGTCACTTGGGCAGCTTTTCAATGTGGGAGTTTAATCATGGAGTACACACTCATGTGGGGACCACAGGCATGGCTGAGCTGGGCTGAGCTGGGCTGGGCTGAGCTGGGCTGGGCTGGGCTGGGCTGGGCTGGGAGCCCCCAAATTAGACCTTCGAGCAGAGAGCATTATCCACTGAATGACCTGCATTAAAATGCAATAAGAATAAAGTACGATTTGTTACTCTTCTTGATGCGAGTGGTTCATGGAGCTTGGATTCTGGCCTTCTAATGACTGCCGTAAGGCCAGGAGAGGCAGCCGGACCATCTGTCCAGGTCTCTGTCCTGTGCTGGAGGTGAAGTCAAGGTCGCCAAATGGGCAGTGAATCCGGCCGATTGGTTTCCTTAGGTCTGTTTTCCCTCCCCCCGGAGGTGGTGGCCTGGCTTCCGAGCCCTTTGTCCTCCTGAAGACCTTGGTGTCCGTAGCATGGTTCAGACATGGCGCCTCTCCAAGCTCATGCTCTCCAAAAAAAGGAAAAAAAAAAACATTTTCGCTGCAAAGTTAAGGTCTGGTGCTCTGGGCCTTGCTGGACCCATGGAGAACTTAGTTAAAATGCTCCTGCTTGCTCTTTTTGCATAATATAACCTGACTTTTGTTTTTATATATCCATCCATCCATCCATCCATTTTCTATACCCGCTTGTTCAGTGCAGGGTCACAGGGGTCCGGAGCCCCGAAAGCTACGGGGGTAAAGCAGTGAATAACCCAGGATGGAGCGCTGCTCCATGGGAGTTATTTTTATATGTTGTATATAATCTCAGATAACACTCAAACGCCCTGTCCTTTCGTAGCATGTAGAGAGCTGAAGTTCATTTCTGTGCGGCAGAGGTAGGCCGTGGCTGTTTGTGTGAGGAAGAGGGTCACAGGCTAACTGGCACTGGTAGACACCGTTACATGTCCACATGCTTTAATAGAGTGTGTCAAATGCCCCCGGGAAAGCGTGAGCTGTCTCGCCAAGGTCGGCCTATCGATTGACAAACCTGTAAGTTTGCTACTCCCAGCCCAGCTACCCTCCCCCCCCCAACAATGTGGCAGATGCCGCCTAGCAGTGCACTTTATAAAGCTTTTTAGGAACAGCTTTCAGGACACTGCAACGCTTTTCTCCCAAACTGTATACAGTTGTGGAAATGGTGTCTGGCTTAAGGGCCCAGAAGTGAAATCACTCTGGGATTCGAACCGGCGACCTTTTGGTCACGGCCACTTTATCCTAGACGACCCTCTTGTTTTCTCATATTTAAAATGAATATTTTGGAAGGTACAACTTGGTTTGGCTGTGGCCATTTGCATAGGGGCTCTATTCTTTATTAGCCTGAAACAAATGTTATTTCCAGCTGTCGTAACCAGCAGCTGAGTATAGCATTTGTAATACCAGAGAAACCTAATCTACCTCCGTCTGAGGCATCATGCCTCAGAGTCAGCCTTGGACTGTCACATGACTAGGCCTGGGTACTGAACTTCAGTACTTTTGTGGTACTGACCAAAATACTACAGTACTATTGAGGATCGAAAAATTGTATTTTATCATTTATTTTATAATATATAATTTTATTAATTATAATCCAGAGTCTGTGAGCCAGTAAGCATGCAGCATACTTGTGTAAAGATTTTAAGTTGCTAGTGATTGGCTGTTAACGTAACATTACCCAAGCATGTCATAGAGACATGTATGCCCAGAGACAAACATGTGAACTGGTTCGCATGTGTGTTGTTTTTGTGTGTCATGTAATGTAAGAAACGCCTAATAAATCAAAAGTGTGGCTCCGCAGGGCTCCAGATTGTGACAGTTGAGTAGCATTTTGCAACCATTTTTGGAGGTGGTGCGACTAAATTTTATAACTGGGTGCGCCAGTGCAACTTGCAAATATGCCCCCTAAATAGTGGCTGACCACATCGTCGTATATCACGTGAAACACCCGGAGAGAGCGATAATTAGTGTTTATATGTATGCGTGTGTGGGCGAGATCATCGGAACTCAGTCTGATATATTGCAGTTCCTCGGAGGCACTACTGTGGAAGCCCTTACAGTGATTATTTGCTGATTGCTTGACCACAACATGGAAGTTACGCAGGAGTGCAGGAAAAGAGAAGGAGCAGATGGAATTATTTTTGTACCTTATTGCTGGAATCTCCATGTATCGGCAGTGGCAGCAGTGAAACGTTCCGGCGCTTAGCGGAATGACGTTACAGCGCTTTTAATCCCATGGAAAATGAAAGATCGATCTGCTGGGCAGATTTATTTATGGATTATAAACATGTTGCGGGTCGTATAAGAAAACTTTAAATGAAAAGCTGCGTTCAGTTATGATCGCAAACGTTCCCCCAGTAACTGACCAATAACTAACACAACGACCTGTTCAAATAAAAGATTTGTTCTCTAACGTTTAATGTATTTTTGTTGTTGTTGAAATTGATTAAAAAAAATAATGGTTAAACGAATAAATTATCGTTCAGGAACTGGTATTGAAATTAAGGTATCATTCTGTTACTAGTATCGAAAAACTTTGAACGATACCCAGCCGTACACATGACCCAGACCTGATTCCAGTCATGGTGTCATTCTGTTACCCGTTTTCTCTTTACAGTATGTTACTTTGTCAGCATGTGACACTTCATAATGATTAACATCATCATCATCATCATCATCATCATCATCATCATCATCATCCCTCAGCAAAGTTGATTATTTGATAAAGACGATGGTTGTCCTTTGCTCATAGTTCTTATTGACTCATTTGAAACTGCTCTGCTCTTAGTCATGGTCCCTCTCCGTGGAGTTTACTGTGAATTTACAATGTTTTACAGTCATTTACTTTTTGTGTTCTGGGATATATAATACACACACACTTTATTGATCCCAAAGGGACATTCTGTTGCACATGGCTACAGAGGGGGCGTAACATGCAAAACAAGACAAAGTGCGAAAACCGCGCCCCCAATTGTGTGATGCATGGCTCAGCGGGTTAGCGCACTCTTCCTGCGATTGGAAGGTTTCTGGTTCAAATCCCGGAGTCGGAAAAGTGATTTCACTTCTTGGCCCTTAATCCCCTATTGCTCCAGGGACTGTCTGACCCTGTATTTTCAAAATAAATTAACAAGTATGTGTATATAAACAGGTAGATACAACCATCTACTAAAAATTAAATGTGAAAAATAATGGACTGTTCATGTAAAGTATGTAGTCAAGCATTGTCACATAGGGTGTCATTGTCTGTTTCTGAATGCCGTCTCAGTGTGTTGTATCAGAGCCCTCTGACCATTACGTTGACTGTGGTGTTACTAGTGATGGGGTGGGGCGTCCTCTGACGGGCAGTGATGATGGGAAAATGTTTACCTGGCAGGGGTTCGACCAGCTGAGATTAGAGGGGCTCCTCTGTGACGTGACCCTGGTGCCGGGCGACGGGGATGAAGCCTTTCCGGTTCACCGGGCGATGATGGCCTCGTCCAGCGACTACTTCAAAGCCATGTTTACAGGTTGGCGTCCCCATCTGCAAATAGCCGCTAGTGTCGCTAATGGCACCCGCTCATCTCTGAGGCTTTCTCTACCTCCGGGAGGCCCGTGGAGAGCTTGGCCATTAAGTATTTCACTATTTCTGTTAACTGCACGTATAAATTATAAAAGCTGTTTTTGGAAATGCCTTATTTCAGAGCTGCATTTTAAGAGAATAATTTGAACTCATTAGACAGGCTTGTGTTAATTAGCTCTGTCTTTGCTCACTATCTAAACATCTGTGTGTGTGTGTGTGTGTGTGTGTGTCCGAACTTTTCCAGATGAAGATATCTTTGAGATCTTTTATTAATGCTAAAATTTATGCCATCATTCTTTTAATTTTGTGTTTTGCACTAGATCATTAATATGAGAAGTAGTGATTTTTCATGAGAATAATGTTTAAGTTCTTTCATCACACAATACTGTGAACAATAGCCATACATTGGTAGTTTACAGCTGTGCCTGTTTAATGAAATTTTGGGTGATTTAAACAGCTGTAAATAAACTGCTTACCCTCGCAGGTGGAATGAAGGAACAGGATCTGATGTGCATTAAGCTTCACGGGGTTAACCGGGTAGGTCTGAAGAAGATCATCGACTTCATCTACACGGCAAAGCTCTCCCTCAACATGGAGAACCTGCAGGACACGCTGGAGGCCGCCAGCTTCCTCCAGATCCTCCCGGTGTTGGACTTCTGCAAAGTCTTTCTCATCTCCGGGGTGAGAATGGCGTCCTGCTGACTGCGCTCTCTGCTGCGCTGATGTGGCTCCGCCCCCCAGCCGACTGTGTCGGGACTGTGCTGTTGTCGCCATGTCCCTAGTGGAGTGATTAGTGTGATTATCACAGGGAAGCAGACAGTGTAACTGAGGTCCCGTCATCAGTAGCTAACCCCACTCTGGGGTGCATCATCTAAGGAGTAATAGTACATGAAACGTATAAAAGTTTATTCAAGTTCTTTACATGTAATTGAGACATGTTTAAATACTTTTTTAATTGGCTGTCTCTCTAGGTGCCGTGGTGGCATGGGTAAGGCCATCATCGTTGGGGGGGTTTGAATCTCATCCATAGTGTGTGTGAGTGGTTAGGTGAGAGTGGGGGGATGTGTGGGTGAGTGAGTGGGTAGGTGAGAGTGGGGGGATGTGTGGGTGAGTGGGTGAGAGTGGGTGGGTGGGTGAGTGAGTGGGTGAGTGACTGGGTGGGTGGGGGGGATGCGGGTTTTCTCCAGGTGCTCTGGTTCTGTCCACAGCCTAAAAACTTTGCTGTGAGATTTGGTGTCTCCGTATCACCAAAGATGGGCACCAGGCCTCCAAGACCCTGAATTATGTTGGTGGTCCAAAAATAAATGGTTGGCAGCTTTGGTTATTATTGACTAATGATTGAAAAATATGAATCTGGCTGCTGACCACACTTGCGTGAACTTCCGCCATGATCTGTTCCTCCCTGGATTATGAGGAGATCTTGCTCACAAAAAGCCAAAGTATCTTCAACCATCGCTTCTCCGCCTGTGTCTGGCACAGGTCTCGCTGGACAACTGCGTGGAAGTGGGTCGCATCGCCAACACGTACAACCTGACTGAGGTGGACAAGTATGTCAACAACTTCATCCTGAGGAACTTCCCGTCGTTGCTGGGCACCGGCGAGTTTGTCAAACTGCCCTTCGAGCGGCTTTCCTTCGTTCTCTCCAGCAACAGCCTGAAGCGCTGCGGCGAGCTGGAGCTGTTCAAGGCGGCGTGCCGCTGGCTGCGTCACGAGGACGGCCGCATGGAGCAGGCGCCCCGGCTCATGAAGAACATCCGCTTCCCGCTGATGAGCCCGCAGGAACTCATCAACCACGTGCAGACAGTAGACTTCATGCGCACGGACAACACCTGCGTCAACCTGCTGCTCGAGGCCAGTAACTACCAGATGATGCCGTACATGCAGCCGGTGATGCAGTCGGAGCGCACGGCCATCCGCTCGGACAGCGCCCACCTGGTGACCCTGGGCGGCGTGCTGCGGCAACAGCTGGTGGTCAGCAAAGAGCTGCGGCTCTATGACGAGAAGGCGCGGCAGTGGAAGTCACTGGCGCCCATGGACGCACCGCGATACCAGCATGGCATCGCAGTCATCGGCAACTTCCTCTACGTGGTGGGCGGCCAGAGCAACTACGACACCAAGGGCAAGACGGCGGTGGACACGGTGTTCCGCTACGACCCGCGCTACAACCGCTGGATCCAGGTGGCGTCTCTCAATGAGAAGCGGACCTTCTTCCACCTGAGCGCGCTCAAGGGACATCTGTACGCCGTGGGCGGCCGCAACGCCGCCGGTGAACTCGGTAAGTCGAGCGCCCCCCTCCACCCCCCCCTCCAAGCCTGGCCGCTTCCCAGTCTGCGCGGCCAAACTGCTGTGCCGCGGATTCGAAATGGAGCAAAGGGCGATACAGCCACATTTGAGGTCGATTTGAATCTGGTTCCCGTGTAAACAGACTTTGATAACATTTTTATAAAGTGATGTGCATGGGAGTTCATGCGTTTGAGTATCTGTCATGTGTAGTGGTCCCCAGGGTGTTCCGAGTACACAATTTTGTTTGTTTGTTTCTGCCCGATGTAAAGAAAGTTTTAGAAGTGTAATAGTATTACAAGCAGACAGCTGGATGTCGTTTTTTTGTTTTTATCTCGTGCAGTTTTCTTAAGGGTTTCACTCTAACAGTAGATATTGTTGCCTGTTCGGCACTTGGGCTTGCGACGGTAATTAGGACGCCATTTTATCTTATTCCTTCTGTTTGAGCTCGACGGCTGTCAAACGCGTCCGCCATCGAACCTGCTTTTGTGGAGGAAGTGTAATTATCAACCTCGGCAAGTGGCATAAATGCCATTTTCTCTTTCTCAAGAAGTGTGTGTGTGTGTGTGTGTGTGTGTGTGTGTGTGTGTGTATGTATGTTTATGTTTATGTTTATATATATATATATATATATATATATATATATATGTGTGTGTGTGTGTGTGTGTGTGTGTGTGTGTGTAAATATATTAACAATATGAGGTTTAGCTGGGATGGCTTATTCATCAACAGAGTGAGGATTTTAAAGGTGTTGATGGGATGTTATGAGTCATGGATCGCACAGAGTATATAGTGAACGTTGGTGATCGCTTGTAGGGTGTTACGCTGGGGCACGGAGCTGCCACCAGAGTGGGCTCTCCTGCCAGGGCATGGGGGAAGGATGTCATCATCCAGGCCCAGGCCAGTGCAACGTGTTTGTCAAGAGTTTTTGGAATCTGGTGAAAAAATGAGAAAAATAAGGTACGGCTTGACAGTGTAAGAGGCGTGTGGAATGAGGTACGGTCTGCATCCCTAGTGCTTGTCAAGTGTATAGGGGGACTCTTTTTGCGATCAGACTTTGGATTGATTGTTAAACTGCTTAAAAAGGTTCAGGTCTGTCTTTGTGATTATCGTACTAGTATGTGCTGAAGTGTTGTAACTGAAAATGCAGCCAGAGTCTCGTCACTGCCGAGATGCACCAAGGTACCTGCATGCCAAGCAGAAAGCATCCCATAATTAATTAGTAATAATATTTACTTCAGTTCCGATCTGATTCCGATACACAACTGCCGATACCACAGATTCCGATACAAGAGCTGTTTTTACTTTACTATATTTTATATAATAAATATATGTATACTTTATATACTATTAACATTTTTTAAACTAGTAAATACAAATGATAAAATGTATGCCAAAAAATCTTATTACTCTACTAGAAACATACATAGCGTACTGTTCCACCTCGTTCGCACATCTTGTTTTAAGCTTTTTTCATATTACAGTGGTGCCTGGGAATCGTGAACACAATCTGTTCCAGGAAAGTGGTCGTGAACCAATTTGTACGCGAACCAAGGCAATTTTTCCCATAAGAAAGCATTGAAATTCAATTAATTAATTTACAACCCTACCAAATAATATTTTTTTGTTAATTAATTTCACTTTAAGGAAAAACTAAATATAGTGTGGCGATGGGCGGACCGAGTTATTGCGGGAGCTGAGAGAGACATGGAGACTCGCTTGCTGGGAAATCAAGTCCGTAACCCTTGTATTGTTGTTGTTAATGGTTGCATTTCCCTATTGTCGCGCGTGTGTTTGCCCATGTCTTGTATGTACCCGGTCCGATCCTTGTATTTAGCGTGTGTAAATTTTCCACCGCGTGTGCATCTTGCGTCTGACAACCTTGTGTTTCCCGTCTGTGTCTTTGGGTTCGGTGCTCATTGGTTGCCTGTTGTGGTCCTTCTATTTACACTTGCATGCAGGGCATGCTGGGACATGCGCCCCGCCGGTGCTACACTAGTATAAAAATAAGGAATCTGTTCATTGACCAAATTTTGCACGCGAACCAATGCATTTTTTTCCAGAAAATTTTTGCTCGCGAACCACAGGCACCACTGTACTCGCATTCTCACAGAATTGTGTCCATTTTTAGTGGGATTTTACATATCTAAAATGGGAAATAATTGATTGTACAAATGGATTTAACAGGAAATCGGAGCTATCTTCTTAGACTCTGCCGAAATCTAAATAAGCAAATGTCGGACGTGGATCGGTCACGTATGGCTGGTACCCGATCCGTCAAATAGGTCTGGATCGGTGCCAATTCCTATCCGAATATCGGATTGTTGCATCTCAAATTTTTGCTGCAGTGTTGCGCTGGATGAGATGGAAAATTTGATGGATTTATTGTTATTAATTGTGAAATGGGTTGGAAAAGGTACTATTCCGTCCCACCACTCTCGTATTCTTGCTCGAACATCTGTTCCATCCATACTTTTGGTTTTTCTGGCATCCGTATTACGAAATGATTCCCGTTTGCCACCAGACTGTGGGATTTACGCTCGCCGCATTGCAGACTACAGAGAAAGGAAGGCAGGTGTTCTATGTATGGAATCCTAATCATATCCCTTTGATGTAAAATGAGAGGGAGAAATGCAATACTGTTAAAAAAAAAATCCTTTTGGAAATCATATGGAAAAAAGTAATAACTGCAATTATGGAGTAGCCTGGCAAGACATTTAAACATTTTAACTACAATATAAGGCACAGCTGACATCTAGCATGAGGATCGATGTGTGCGGATGAAATCTTCCATGTCATTTTATTATGTAGTTACTGGGTTACAGTAAATGTAACGTTAAATGTTGCCTGAGCTCTCAGCTACCGCTGTTATGTTTCTGTGCCATGCTGAACGCAGTGTCGTAATTAGCATTAGCCTCGTAAATTATTCCAGTTAATCCCTTATTGCGCAAATGCAGCTTGTCGCTACCGCAGAGATGTTTGGCTTGAGGAGCACAGGACCGCTAGCTGCATCCTGCACGTGTCTCATTGCGTCACTACGCCCCCTCTAGGCCCCGGCTCATCTCACATATTGCACTTAACCGCTTCCAAATGACGTTTGCGTACCTTTCCCCCCTTCGATTGTTCCCCGACGTCTGTGTAGCGCTAAGCAGTCGTTAAATTGATATTTTTCTGACAGCACTTAAGGCTCTGTGTGGAGTTTGTGAAAGGATAATGGGAAGGACTTCATTCATTTATGCAGAATGAAGTGGAAAGTTTCAGCCTTTTTCTTCTAAATTCTTCATGATGTTTAAAAATAATTGCGCTTCTGCACGATTATGTCCTGAGGTTCTGGGTGCGAGGGCTTGTTTGAACTGCAGCGCTTTGATATTATGTTGTTGTTAGACCAAGTTGCGCTTGTGTTAACTGTTCATTGTGGGGATTAAAATTCCTTTTCACCTTACGATCGTGACCCCATCGTAACATGGGGAGAGGCTGTCTAAATTACGCAAAAGAAAATCACTGTAATATCTGTTTCTGAGCTTACCGGCCAGCTTCCCACTTTTGCGTTTTTATTTTGTTTTTCCATGACTAGTAAACAAATCATTTTCCTTTCACCATTTCAGCATTCTATGTAGTTGGACATGTTATGATGAAGTTAATCAGGGTAAATTGCTTTTTTAACGCATCCCGACGTCTCCCATTTGTACCGGAACCTTCTCGGTCACACGTGTCACCTCGTGTCCTGGGAATAAGGTCCCCGTTTTCAGCAGACGGCCCCTGATCCGTCAGCCGTCTTTCTTCGTTTCCTGTCTCCCGTCTCGTTCTAACGCTTGTGGGGAAGGCTTGGCACTGAGCTGTGGTGTGAGGAACCGGCCCAGTGAAATCAGGCAGAGATGCTGGGTGATGCCGCTTTGTCCGCTGCAGGTGAGCGGAGGTGACCGCCAGGGGTCCGCATCTGTCGGTGCTGAGATCATTGTCACCCCTGCTTTTCTCAGACTAAGCTCCCTGTCCCCTTGTTAAATAGGGGTATGGTGCAGGTAACACAGGCCTGGAACGATGGGCTTCCTGGATTAAAAATAAACAATTCACCTTGTTGGCTGCTTGTCTCTACATTTGAAAGACATTTCTGATTTCTTGATAATTGCGCTGATAAGAATTGAAAGACGTCAAATCAAGTAAAATCTAAGCCATTAATATAAGGGGAGGAAGTGAGGATTGCAGTGAAGTGCTGTGCGTGCGCAGTGGGAGGATGCCAGTGGCGAGCTGCAGTCAGTCGTGAACCTGAGAGAAGCGGGAGACTCGGGTTTGTTGTTCCCCGGAGAAGCTGAAACCCTCCGGAGGTGAAAACCGCAGACTGAGGGGATTTCGGCAGCTCCTGCAGTCTTCGGAGGGGGAGGCGGATGGCAGAAGAAGTCAGAGCTTTGCATTTCTTTACCTTCCAACCCTCGCAGAAGTGCACTGTGGAAAAACTGTGTGCGTGTACAAAGATGCAGTGCCGTCTCAGGATGCATCGGTGAACCAAGCTGTTGGGCTTTTGTGTAGAAACATCAGTAAACAGACTGCGCTTTGGCCCACAGCCTCAAGATGTTCTCGGCCAGTAATTATGTTATATTTGTGGCACCACCCCCTAACCCATATTTTATGCTCCCTGTCGTCTGCAGTCAGCGTGGGCTGGACAGATGGAACAGAAGTTCATCTCGTTTTAGTTACGTCTGGTTTGTTCAGAGACCTTCCAAGGCCACATGTGCGGTTCTGTTTGTTATTTTTCATTTGGCCTACTTTCCGTTAATGTGTTTTTTTTGCCCCCTTGTTTTCCCCTCAGCTACTGTAGAGTGTTACAACCCCAGAACCAATGAATGGACGTACGTCGCAAAGATGAACGAGCCACACTACGGTCACGCCGGCACTGTCTATGGTGGCTTCATGTACATTTCAGGTAAAGTGCGTCTCTCTCTCTCTCTCTTCGTATGTCTCTCTCTCTCTTTCTCTTCGTATTCTGTCCGTCTCTTAGGGATGGTTATATTCACCGATTTGCATCACAAAGCAATTGCCCCAATTCTAAACAGTGCGCCCCGGATACAATTTGGGATCAACTCAGATCGTTACCAACATCTTTGCTTCAGGAAAATCCTTTAATTATTTGTAAATGTCCAATCATTTTTGGCCAAGAGCTTTATATTTAGGCTGTTTCTCCCTCTCTAAACTGATTCTGTATCTGGTCCATATTGAATTGCGTAGCGTTATGTTCTTTGGCATGGCATTGTGGCGCGTTAAATGGTCTTGTGTTGAATGAAATTGTGCGGAATTCCACTGCTTTGCAATAGGGGTGAATCATATCCTATCGCCTTAGCAGTTGCTTTATATGTATCTTTAATGTATCGGGTTGTTGGCAATGCGTCGAATTGTTCATCAGCTTCAGTGATCCAACGCACATCCCCAGGGGCGCCGTAAGGGGGAGGAAAGCTAGGACGATTCCAAGGGCCCCTGAGTGACAGGGGCCCTAAAAAATTAGGAAAATAACTGGATTGGTTTGGACTGGGGGGCCTAATATGATATGCTTTCATGGGGCCCAAAATCTCTAGCAACGCCCCTGCACATCCCTACCATCTATAGATAAAATGTTTATAAAGGAGGGGTTGATGTATCGATAACGGATCATTCAGTTTTACTGAGCAAAAATCTGGTTTGGTCACATCTCCTGTTATTTTTGCTACAAGTCTAAAGTAGGGATGTGGAATTAGAGATGTGGAAGACCCTGAAACCTGTACGTCACGGAAACTGAGGCTCACGTAAGTTCCAGACAGACAAGCCTCAAGCCTCAAAGACTGGTGACCTAGCTGGCATTTTGCGAGGAACATTTTCTGAAGTGACGTCATGCCCCGGGGGAGGGACTGCCAACCGGGGTGAATCGCTCGCGGTGCTCTCGTCCGTGCGTCACTTCGTGATGCAAGACAGATGAGCGATGAATTTGTTCGCTTGGAGATGGTGACATAATGTGGGAGCAGTCAGGCACAGTGCTGTCTGACAAGCTTTCCACAGATGCCGTAGCTGGGTTTGAGTGCATAAACCCCTTGTTAAATCTAAAAATGCTTTGTTGCATGTAAAATCTGTGCAGCGGTATACTGAGCAGTTGAAAAAGTCATATGGTGAGATTAGTCATTCTTCACACTGTTGTCAACGAGCAGAGGTGTGTGTGTGTGTGTGTGTGTGTGTGTGTGTGTGTGTGTGTGTGTGGTGCAACCTAAAGGAAGTCTATAGATTTAAGCATGTCTCTCGCACTGGAGAACTGTGGCAGTTCAGTAAGGGTGTGCAGTGTATAATCCTGACATGCTTTTGGGTCACTCACGTAAGCACCAGTAAAATCAAAGCCATTCCAATCCACTGATTCTATGGCGAGGCATTTCTCTCTCCACGATGGGCGTTAAGCTAATCTAGGATGACATTGCCTCCATCCACAGGGTGCGAGTGATCTGTAAATCGTTTTTGACAAGCTAACGATGTAAACGCTGTCATGGTTGATGGAATTTCTCATGGAAGAGTGGTGCGTCATTCCTCAAGTAGAGATCTAGAATCTTATGGAAGAGGTGATGCCTGTACGCTAAGGTGTGCTGAAGATGTTCTGGTGGCGGATGGCAGCCCAGCACCATCTTAAGATACTTTACGTGGGTGTTTCCCTTATTTGGGCTGTTACTGCTGTACGTATTTGTATCATTTTAGCTTTTTTCACTCAATAGATGAAAACATTCTTCATGAAATATCGTGTTAAGATGTTTCATTGTACTTAAATGCTTTCTAGAATGGTGAAGACGAATAAGAAGATCACAAACATTAAATGCAAGACATGCCACTATAGTTTGACTCTACTTAATGGAATTTTTAAATCAGTGATTTAAAAATGCCCTGGACCATGGTTAGGGGGTGTGGCCAGATATTGTTTTTCCTAAACTGCTGGAAAACTGAAACTATCAATTAAGTCCATTTATGAAGGTCGGAAAGCATGTTCCCTCATGGAAAATTGCAGCTATCTCGTCCTGAGTCACCTGATGGCGAGATGCCTGTCCCACCTGTCAGGGAAGCCGTCTGACTGCTTCGCTTCCGGTTTCCTCTCCTTAACCCTGCGTTCAGAAGCAGGGGGTGGCGACGCGGCCAAGCCATCGCCCCATATAGACCCGTCCGCGTGCTGTAATGGACAAGCAGCCGCATGGCACAGCCCCAGATTTATTTTTAACAGCTCCTGCATAAATAAAACGTGGTCCAGCGATCCGCAGGGTGCTGCAGGAGGAATTCCACCGGCAATAACCCACTGCGTTGCCTGCTGGGAGGCCAGCCGCCTGTCACATCCGGAATCGTCCCGCGCTTCCGCCGCTTCCCGGTGTCCCCCCCATGCGGCTTCGACCGGGGGCCCCGTCTGCCCCACACCCCCAATGCAATAGTCCCCATCTCCCCGGACTCGTCTTGTCGACGGCCCATCTGCCTCTGGTTGGCTGAACCCCTTTGATGGGATTAGTCTGTAGAAATAGACTGAGTTCAAGAGTACCTCTCTTTTTTTTTTTTTTTTTTTTTTTACCCCTGACCAGGGATGTTGTCAGACATCTAAAAAGGTGCATTTTCTTTTCTGCATCTTCTGTCATGGGTGTTTATGCCGGTTAACTGTAGCCACAGTTAATGAATCGCAGTGGAAAGCAGTGTGTTCGTGTCCTTTTGGAGCAGTGCATGGAAAAGGCTGTCAGCCCCCAGAAGCTTTAGCTCACCATGTCCCCCCTGACTCATGGTGGGGGCGGGGGGGGCTGTGAGGGGGGGGCTGTGATGGGAAGCGGTGGTGCACATGCTGAGCCCTCTTTCTGTGGGCTTTACAGAGGGCCGATATGCCCTGTTCCTCTGTCCCCCATGTCCCCTATGTGTCCCCCGTCATGTCCCCGCCGTCTCCCATCATGTCCCCTATGTGTCCCCCATCATGTCCCCTATGTGTCCCCCCATCATGTCCCCTACGTGTCCCCGCCATCTGCCATGTGTATCCTATGTGTCCCCGCCGTCTCCCATGTGTCCCCTATGTGTCCCCTATGTGTCCCCGCCGTCTCCCATGTGTCCCCCATCGTGTCCCCCATCATGTCCCCTACGTGTCCCCCCCATCATGTTCCCTACGTGTCCCCGCCGTCTCCCATGTGTCCCCCATCATGTCCCCTATGTGTCCCCCCATCATGTCCCCTACGTGTCCCCGCCGTCTCCCATGTGTCCCTTACTTATTCCGTTCATATTAAATATGATCCTTCTGATACAGGGGACTGCCTGTATCATAGCTAGTCGTCTTACTACAAAGCCAAATCATGGTCACTAGCACAAATTCAGGTCTCCACAGCTGCTCAGAAACTTTGCCTGTATTTGTGCACGTGTGTGCTCATAACTCGTTGATCCTCTCAGCACGTACGTGTACATAAACCCAGAAAGAATCTCTGGGTACATGCGTGTTCCCAAGAAGCGTGCAGGTTGCCTGCCGTCTTGTCCTTCTCCTTGTCAGCTTATTGTCTATTTTCAGGTTACTGTAGGGTCAGTACGATCCAGTTATGGCGTCTCTGAGATGCCCAGGGGGATGCTGGGAAAGCATCAGCGCACATCTGGCTCTTCATCATCCCCATCCCTCACCTTCAGTTATCTTTAGAAACATGCTGATCGTCTCGTTTTGCTCACTTCAGTGTTTGTCTATTTCTAGCGATGACCTGCTTCTGAAGCGTTCAGACTTCAGTTTCTGTAGAGAGAACCTTCATCTATTTTCATAAGGTCTTTGGGAACTCTGCTCTGTTTTGCAGCTCACGTCAAATATACCGTTTCTTCACATTTTCTAACAAACGTCAAGTGACACTATGACTTTCTTGATTTTTCTGTGAAGATTAATGTAATGCTTCTTCATAGCACTAATAACATAAAATGTTGACATTGGTTCTGTTACAGTAAACTCATTAATAGCCATTTTTTCAACTAGTTCAACTTTGTGAGAGATGTGATCAGAATATTGCCTTTTATACGTGTGAGGAAATGGTTGCTCGTGGTTTTTCTTTGTCCGTTGTTGTAATGTTTATTTTAGATAAGCCCTAAAACATTTTCATTACTTATCATTCCTCTTTCAAATAAGTGTGGCTGACATGACACAGGTTTCCATTTCAAAGAGTTTAACGTCACTATTAGAGCAGACATGGGAAAAAGACTGAAGCCCGCATGAAGCAGAGCTGCAGTAGAGGGGTGCTGGAGCTTCAGAATTGGGAAAAGAGGAGAGAGCAAAGTCAGTTTACTATGGTGAACAAAAGGAAAAAAACAGAGGATGACAAGGCTGTGACGGAAGACAAGGTGGAGGAGGGTGACAGCAAGACAGTGGAAGATGAGAAAGAGGGAGTGGAGGAGGATGACAAGACCGTAATGGAAGATGAGGGGCCCAGGTAGTGAAGGGAGAGGAGGGTGGTATAAGATGAGAAAGGGGGAGTTAAAGGGGGATGGCAGCAAGGCTGTGATGGAAAACCCAGCACATCAAGACGTCGGGGCCGGTTTAGGCCCCTGCCCAGCGAGACGTCGGGGCCGGTTTAGACCCCTGCCCGGCGAGACGTCGGGGCCGGTTTAGACCCCTGCCCGGCGAGACGTCGGGGCCGGTTTAGGCCCTGGCCCGGCGAGACGTCGGGGCCGGTTTAGGCCCCTGCCCGGCGAGACGTCGGGGCCGGTTTAGGCCCAGCCAGGACAGCTTGGAGACAGATTTTATGTCGCGTCCACGGACGGACACCTTCAGGTCCCAGGGAAGAGAAGGTGGAGAGACAGCAGGATGCAGACCGGACACTCACAGGGTACAGAGGCTTCCTTAAGGCCACAGTGGATTAGTGGGCAGGCTGTGTGTAACCATGACCACCAGAAAGGCAGCTCCGCCTTCATCCCATCAGCCGTGTTTCTAATCACCGCTACCAGAAAGGTCTCGCCCAGAGGCCAAAGCGCAAATGGAGGATCACATCAAATGTAAAGCAAGCAACCATCATCAAACCGCTTATCCTGGTCAGGGTTACGGGGGGCCTGGAGCCTGTCTCAGGCAGTAATGGGTGAGGTACACCTGTACAGGATGCCAGTACATCACAGGTCACATACACACACACACACACACACACACACACACACACACACAATCATAAGCCGTAGGCAATTTAGAGAAGCCAGTTACCTTTACTAACGATTTTGGACTTTGGGTGGAAACCTGCATGATATGAATAATGTACAAACTGCACACATGCGGTAGAGGTGGGATTCGAACCCCCAGCCCTGCGCTTACCACCATGGCATCCCAAGGCCGGCATCGAAAAATAATGGGAAAAAAGGTGTCAGTACTGCATAGTCCAGTCACAATAAAGCATAGCAATGATCAAAAGCAGAGAGGGTGATTCTCAGCACTTCTCGCCGAAAGCAATGCTATGAATGTCAGCCAGCAGTAAAGTGACCATTATCTCTTGAAAAACACCTCCAGACTTTGACTTGCAGTGAACGGAGACCTTGTGGTCTCATAGCCGAGGAGAGAGAGCCGCCTCTTGGATGTATGTTACGGGCCTTACTGCCCTTTGCGGGGGGGGCACCGCATCTGTGAGGCATGGCATAGTTTGTCACGTAGCTCCGATCATTAAAGGGATAACATAGCGGAAACTGCAGCGGCGCCAGTGGGCCCGACGAGCTGCAAGCTGGAACGTTTCCTCCCCTTTAAACGCCGCTTGGCCTGCATGGCTGAGCTGCCTTCAGAAATATCTGCTGCTTGTGAAGAATCTTTTCACATTTGTGCATTAACGTTTAATATATGAATGAATGCAGCATTAGTGAATGGGAGTGAACCATCAGCGTGCTGATTTAAAAACGCATCTGCTGTATCTATGGAGGTTAATGAGCTTATGGAGGGCAGGGCCTTCGTTGGGGTGCGGCCCCTTCATTCCACACGCACTGCAGATCCTCACTGCGCCCCTACCCTGCCAGACGCATGCTGGGACGCTCTCCCCCGGGCCGTCATCTCCATAGACACAGCCTGCTTTCCTGATGAAACCAGACTGTGGTGCAGTGGGGAAAAATCCTGCGTGAGACAGATCTTGATAGTATAGCAGGCTTCTCTCTGTTTCGCGTGCTCCATAGAAGAAGATACACTGTTGTTATAGGTGGTTTACAGCATGGCTAATATGGTATTATAGCCTAGCACACAGACACTAAATCCATTAATGTAGTGTTTGTTTCACAGTACTGACATAAGCAGCAGAATTGACTGCATTTGTCCTGGGACCAGATGATTTTTCCCACTGGTCGAAAGACTGTTTTTATGAGAGTCCTGTAATACTATTAGAGTTCTCTAAAATTCGCTTCGTATCCTGCTTTGTGTAGTTTAAGTTTCTGTAGAGAAATTGCTTTTTTGTTCTGTTGGGCTGTTTTGTTTGCTGTTAGTTAATAGTAGAATTTGCAGCAGCCTTTCACTTGCTTCAAGCTGCCTGAGATGTTCCACCCACCAGCAGATCTCTCGGGGTTGGGTTGCCTCCTGTCTATATTATGGGATTGGCCCATATTGAAAAATGTCGGGCAGTGGTGACCTAATGGTTAAGGAAAGCAGGCATGCTTGTGATTTAAAAGGTTGCTGGTTCGAATCCCCGACCAGCAAGGTACCACCCCCATGCACTGGTCTCCAAGCCCCCTGCTATGTTAATGCCACATATGGGTTAAATGCAACATGTCATTGTTGTGCACTATGTGCTGTGGTGTGTCAAAAATGACAATCACTTATTGGTCCACAAAAATATTTGTCCAGTATTTCAATACACATTGTATCAAGACCACAAACACACCCACACAAACCCTCTCTGGCAAATTTCATTACCAGCACCCCCCAGGTCTGTGAAATTTCTGTATGATGTATACCGGTCCACAGACATCGAAAGGTCAGAACCCCTACCTTGGGGTTTGGTTTCTTCTGGTTGTGTGTGACGCCGATGACTGGCGAATGAATGAAGCTTTTTCTTGGTGTTCTTCCTTTCAGGTGGAATCACTCACGACACTTTCCAGAAGGAGCTGATGTGCTTTGATCCGGACGCAGACAAATGGAGCCAGAAGGCCCCCATGACCACGGTGCGGGGGCTGCACTGCATGTGCACCGTGGCCGACCGGCTCTATGTCATCGGCGGCAACCACTTCCGGGGCACCAGCGACTACGACGACGTGCTGAGCTGCGAGTACTACTCACCCGCGCTGGACCTGTGGACGCCCATCGCCGCCATGCTGCGCGGGCAGAGCGACGTGGGCGTGGCCGTGTTCGAGAGCAAGATCTACGTGGTGGGCGGCTACTCATGGAACAACCGCTGCATGGTGGAGATCGTGCAGAAGTACGACCCCGAGAAGGACGAGTGGCACAAGGTGTTCGACCTGCCCGAGTCGCTGGGTGGCATCCGCGCCTGCACCCTCACCGTCTTCCCCCCCGAGGACAACACGGGCTCGCCCTCCAGGGAGTCTCCCCTGTCAGCTCCGTGACGGGGGGGGGAGGGGGCGCGAGTGGAGGAGCGTCGTCGGAGTTACTGTTTTGCACTTCCTGTTTGGGATTACCCCCAGCTCGGCGCCGGTAGGCACAGTTGCCGCAACGCCTTTCGCAGAGTGGATTCCCGGCAGCCCAGGTGAAAGGCCGCCATGTCTCACCCGGAGCCCACCTCCCCCTCCACGGGACGTTTCCTGAACTCTCTGTGTATTGAGCCGGCCCACCCCCTTCCGTCCAGCCTAGCCCCTCCCCCCCCGGACCGTGTCCCTTCCCCCCCCACGGACTTATTTGAACATGGCTGCTACCCCGGGCTCTGGTTTTTACTCTGCTGGAAATGACTCCCCGCACCACGGCACAGCCTCGTTCACAGGGTGCTCCTCCTGTACGTGCGTGTCGGCCATGGGGGGGCGTGGTTCGGTCGCCCCGTTACACGTCCATGCTGCCTAATGTTGGGTTTTTTTGTTTTTTTTTTTGCCCCCCCTACCCCTGACTGGGACCCTTGATGTTATAGGACAGTCTAGTGGTGACTTTTCTATGGCTGCCCAGGTTCCTGTTGTGAATAAGTGGTTTGGGGATGAGCTGGATATTGACATGCTGTTTTTTTTTTTATTATTTCTTTAAAAAAAAAAAAAAAAAAAAAGACAAACATTGGCAGCATGGTTGGAGCGGCAGACCCATTAGGAGAGGAGCGGAATATTTAAATCTCAGGGGTTCGTCAGCGTAACCCCATATTACTTTTCCCACTACAGTTTCAGTTTCTGTTTCTGCAATTGCTATTGAACATTTAAAGAGATGGTGTTTTCTAAATTTAATAAAGAAGATTTTGAAAAACAAAAGTGTTTTTTTTTGTCCCCCCCCCTCCTCACCTTAATTGTCATGTGACTTGTGTCCTGGCCCTCTTGTAAAAGCGAGACCGACTAGGTGGCAAGAACCTGAAATTAAATAATTTCTGTATTTTTTACTCTGTTGCATTTAATGCAAATTTTGACCGTCTTGCAAGTAAAATTTATTTTTTTAGCTTAAAAAAAGCTTTTTTTAAAATTTTTTAGTCCACAGTCATTGACGTATTAAAATTTTGCACACCTCTGCAGCTTCATGCAGTTCACGCTGAAATTGTTCCTATAGGGAACATAAGAATGTTTTTTTTTTTTTTTTTAAAGCACTCTGTCAGGGCTGTGAGTCCGCAGCCCGGAGAGAACGTGCTGTGACTCGCACCCGGGAGCCGACTGACTGTGAAAGCGGCAGATCGACAAAGGGAGGCCGCCATGCTGAAGCCTTGCAGAAGCCCAACACCCCCTCACACCCCCACCCCACCGTCTCTGTAAAAAAATAAAAAAATAGCTGGGATTCATTTGTCTTAATTTCTACGCTGTGCATGCTCTACAGCAGAACCCGGTCCTGTGGCATTTCGGGCAGCCTGCGGGTCAGCCTTAAATGTTAAATGGCCCTGGGGGGGCGATAGCCAGGCCGGCATCAAATCAGTACGCGGCGCACGAGGTGAGAGCTGCGTCCCTGGGGGGCTCCAGGCGACTGGGCTGGGCGGCTCCCCTCTTCTCTCGTCCTCCCCCCTCTCTATCTCTCGCTCGCTCTCCGTCTCTCGCGCTGTCTATCTCTGGCCGGGAGGTTCCCGTGTTTTGGCCACCTGCCTCCACTCATAAGCACCCTTGATCACAGCATATGGTCTCCGGTGTGGACAAATAAACCCCTCCCTGGGAGCTGGGCTATCCTGTACCAGACACTGGTAACCTTCTAAGGTTAATTTTACAACATTCTATTTGTTAGCTCCCTTCCCCCACCCCCTGCTTCCGAATTCCAGCGGGAGGTTTATTCTGCGGATCCTCGCATTGCTTTGACTCTCTTAAGCATCGTAATCTGACTGTTTTAAAAATCCTCTCTATTCGGTGTTAAAAGCATAGAGGTTTAATGGCGGTCGCTTTGCTAATTGCTGCCGCCAATAACGATACAAATGATAAATTAATGGCACCGTTTAACCGAATGGCCTGGAAATGTGTTTGGCCATAAAGGGAAGTGGGCCAATTTATAGTGTGGCTATGGTGGTTAAACTTATGAGGTGGGGGGGGTGGGGATTTACCTGGCATCCTGCCTGAAGGAAGGTATCCCACGCATCTTCCTGCGCCTTCCATCACAGCTAATGTGATCTCCTTCTCACTCTTTGTCCTTTCCGTCACCATCTTCTCCTTGCTCATCCAAAACGTCTTGCCATGGACTTTCCTTCCACACGCATGGATATTAACTGAAGCAAATAAGGTATTTCCGGGTAACTCGTTTGGTCCGAGAGCAGGATCTTTGTGCTTATGGTTCTGCACTATTGTTGTTCCCTTAAACACTCCGAATATGGTCCATCTGTTGCTCCTGCCCCAATAGCAACAATTTCCAGCTCTTCTACATTATACAGACTGCCTTCTCTCTACATTATACAGACTGCCTTCTCTCTGCCATATAAGTCTTTACAAAGGTCATGTCTGTCTGCTTCAAAACAGTCTTGATTTTTGCCTATTTATCTATGCTATGTTACGTACTGATTGATTGCATGTAAAAAATCACTTGACAAGCTGCTAGAGTATTAGTGCAGACTTCATCAGATATATAGACTGACCTATATAACACACTTTCCCTTCACACAGTTTTTTTTTTTTGCTAAGAATTTGGGTTGTTGGACAGTACAGGAGGGCAACATCACAGGAACCGAAGTCCAGGTCCTCAAGCTGCCTTGCAGAGCTGCTGATCTCCTGGGACTGGAGGATTTCTGGCCTTCGCCCCTGTTTCGTACGGCACCCTCAAGTAGCCGGGAGGGTGTCCCTAATTAGAGACATTCATTATTCTGAAAAGCAACCAAAGCAAGAACGGTTTCACTCCTCCAAGACTGCCGCTGCCGCTAAACAGCTGGAGAAAAATGTACACGTTGCCCAACTTTTTATATAAAGTCAGACCATCAGAGTGTCTGCATTCTGTATTCTCACTCTTTTGTCTTTTAGCGAATTTGACAGTTTGAATGAGACCTTATAACACCACAAGGGGAATTATGTCCATCCTAACTTAAAGAAAATGTGAATTAAATGTACCTTGCTTGTCTTAGCAGATATTGGCCACAATTCAGCCAATATATACTGAAATACAAGTCTGTCGCTTTAATAGGAATAAGCTGTAGATTAAGCTGTACTCTCTGCATAAAAAAAAAACGGGTAAACAAATGGAGCAACCGATGAAGTTGACTCGTAATTAGAGTCGATGTTCCATCTTCGGGCCAGTTGCATATATTTGTTTTATACTGTTAGCCTCTCATTTAGGAGGCGTACTAAGGCTCCCAGACCTAATGTACATTGGTGCTGCGTGAGGACACAGTGTGCCTGTCCAAGCGGTGGACATACTGTCCTGGGAGAACAGTGAGGTGAGACAGAGGATGCTAGTCGGCCTGAATCCTGCATCTCTGAAGGTAAGGCTTCAAGCTCCATCGCGTTACAAAAATGTGAATCGTGGTGTCTTGGCCGTGATCACTTGACAAACTGTATATGATAACATAATGTCCAAATAAGTAAAGGTAATGAGCTGAAATTGAGCAAAAACCTGACTGTGCCCAACCCGCAAGGGCGAGGATTTAAAAACCACCGATGCACATCTGCGATCACAAGAATGCTACCCTCGCAGGTACGGCAGGCATGCTGGCTGTTAAGAGGGTCATTTATGTGGCCATTAATCATTTATGCAAGTCACCTTTACTTGTTTCAGAGAGGCAAACAAGATGATATAACTCTCCTCAATTTCAGCCCTTGGTGATACTATGGACTCAATTTGATTTTTATATATATAATATCTCCCCTTGTGTCCATGATCCCAGATTTCTTTGAATTGTAGACCTTCCTGGTACCCATAAAAGACTCTGGTTATGCCAGAGATTTTAGAGATAAATGTGGACATTGCTCTCATTCACACAGAAGGAATTCATTTTACAAATATATAAAACAAGCATTGTTAAAATAATAGGCTTCTTATTGGACTGCATTATTTATGGTTTCTTTATCATGATTTGAAACAATGCTGGATTTAAGACTGCCTGGAAATACTCTACATAATCTCAGTGATCTTTAAGTGTAGTCCAAAGCGGACCAGACTGAGAGGGTTTAAGAACCAATGCAATTCTGTCCCTTGAGTTGTCCTGAATTTTAACCTGCAGGATAGTACACAGGTTTTTAGCCTTGCCGAGTGGATCCACGCTGGGTTTCCTAAGCGTGCGGTAGACGTGAGGGCGGGTTTGGTGAGCTTCCCATTTGCCCCCGGTGTGGTTTCTCTGAGTCACCCGATCCACAGTGTATTAAGCCCCTGTCAGAGCACCCATATACCAGCAGTGTTTGCTGAAATACTAATACTGTATGTAGAATGTGAAATGTAGCGGCATGACCCAGGAAGAACCAGACAGACCCCGACATGCACCCGAAGGGAGAAGAGGCCCCAAATGCCACAAGTATGCGAAACATTACCAGTTAGAGACGGGACTTTTTGGCCCCACCCCTACAACCCTGCCACCAGCGCCTTAAGAACAGCAGCACCGACATTTTTGACAGGCAGTTAAGTTAGACGGCAGTACACCAAAGATCAGGGGTCCTTTGTGTCTCCACCGGCAGTGAGGCTGGAGGTTGTTCTCTGGCCTTGTCTCTGTGGTTCAGGCTGAGCCGTTTAAATGCCACCTGTCATTTCAGTGCAGCCACTCTGTGAAGCATCCATGCATTAGAGAATGGGAGCTTCAGTGTACAGTTAAGTAGAATATAAATCGGTTCTGACTTTTAACCAAGGATTATGTGAAAATGATGACTCACAGGCATAGTAGAGATTAAGACGGTCCATTCACTCAGCCATCCAGTTTCCTCTATCGATTATCTAGCACTGGTTCATGGTAAGGCTGTCCCAGGAAACTCAGGGTATGAGGCAAAGGACAGCTTTCAATCAGATGCCAATCTATTGCAGAACACAGTCATAGACTATAGGCAATTTAGAGATACAAATTCAACTAAACTACATGTTTCTGAACTGTGCAAGAAAAGCAATAATAATATATTGTTTAAATTCGACATTCAAGGTCACCTCAAAGAATAAAAACAACAATACAATAACAGCAATAGATTCCAGTGAAATCAAACTAAATCAAATGAAACCAAAACCTCTGAAGCAGCGGTTTCAAAATGAACATGCTAACCTTAGATGAAGAACATGAGTTGTCACAGCAGTTTACAATTGTGTCCAGTTTAAAGAATGCAAGGGGGGGTGAGAGTTCGGAGTTTGAATACAATGTGGGAAAGGCTCTAGGAGCCGTGCTGAAGAGGGACAGACTGGGACTCGACCTGCTGATGAGGATGGGAGTGGGCAGGAGTGAGAGTCGGTCTGCAGAAGATCAGTCAGGTAGGAGCCGTCAAGATTATGAAGGACTTTGAATGTTAACTGTTATGTTATTGCACTGTTTCTCAACTAGGTCCACTAGGACTCCCAGACAGTCTATGTTTTAGCTCCCTCCCAGCTCCCCGCCAGACAGTCCATGTTTTCGCTCCCTCCCAGCTCCCCGCCAGACAGTCCACGTTTTTGCTCCTACTGGGAGCTGGGAGGGAACAAAAACCTGGATCCTCTGGTGCT